GGTACATTATGTCCCACTAAATGGGGACAGGATCAAGTACATGCCGTCCCAATAAACAGGGGACAGAATCAGGTACATTATGTCCCACTAAATGGGGACAGGATCAAGTACATGCTTTTCCAATCAACAGGGGACAGGATCAGGTACAGGGTGTCGTACTAAATATGGACAGAATCAGGCACATGCCGTCCCAATAAACAGGGGACAGAATCAGGTTTTTCTGACTCGTAACGTGTCAATTTCTGTGAATTTCTCATTGTTTCCTACAAGCAAGAAATGCACAAGTCACTTTTGCAGAGCAACCACAAGTGAAAATAAACAATAGATTTTAAAACAAAAACCACGGATATCCAATTCATACATGACCAAGACAAACCTTTTAAGTTTACCTTTGTAAATCGAGAATCTTACAACCTTGTGACACCTCCCAAAATTAATAATAAAAATGAAACTACAAGAAAACAATAATAAAAACAATAATGAACAGAAGCTACCTGGCATATCTGGTCCACTGCTGCACAAGGAAGTAGTAAGGAGGAACAGGACCAGGAGGAAAAGGAAGGGTGGTTCCTAGGGCCCAGGAAGGGCTGGTCCCTAGTAACACCTAAGGGAGGTTGCCTAGTAGTAAATTTATATTTGTGTAGACAAGGTGTAGATAGAAGGAGTGAAAAGATAACTAGGGAGTAATAACTATGTAAAGGTAGTAGATAAGGAATACAGAGTTAGGAACACAAGAGTTATACCCCGAAATGGCATAGCCGAGTCCCAGTGCACAGCACCCTAAACATCCTAGAAAGTTACCTTAGCAGTTGACACCTAGAACGAGAATCCTTTTGGAAAGGTCTGTCAAGATTCTGTCCCCAAGGTTATCGTCTTCTAGAGGGTTGTTAATCCAAGAAAGAAGCGAAGGTGGAACCCAAGCAGGGTCTGCTGGTAAGTTGAGGTTAGAATGGCTGGCTAGAGACCAGAATTTGGGGAAAGAGGCCTTGGACAGGTGATCAGCTAAGGTGGCGAAGGAATTAGAGCATCTGGTTATTTTGTATAGATCAACAGCGCAGCCCAAGCCAGCCGCAACTGTTGAGATGGCTATGACTAGAGTGGTCGAAAGGGGGCAGGAGTTGCTGTAGCCTTTCTTCCAGATGAAAACAGAGGCAGCATTGTCGACCCAAATTTTAATTGGTCTATTTTTGCAAAAGTTGAAACCGCTTGACAGGACTAAGAGAGGTCCGACTAATTCAAGAGCAGACATAGCTCTGCTGAGTGATCTGTTAGCTGAGGTGGCTCTGCCAAAATTAATGGCTCTGGACCAAGGGACATAAGCCCACCAGTCTGTGCAAACTGCCCCAATCCCATT